ATCTCTGAAACGTTTTCCACAAGTTTAGCATCAGTTCCATCAACCACTGCATAGGAATGTGGGAGATTTAAACATCTGTTTAGGGCTTTTCTAGATAGTCTTTTATACTAATAACAAGTAACAAAACAAGGTAATGCTGGATAGCAGTGTAATACCAGCATTACATTTTGACATTTGTTTCTGAAATATGGCATGCTCCCTCGTGACAAAATATATTATCTGTGGGAAAAAAGCATCCTAATTTGACAGGGATTATTATAAATAATTTAGGAAAAGTACTATTTACGATTCCAGCTATGACTTTTTGTGTGCTGAGGCTTTACATAAAGACATACCTTACCAAGATTTCCAATTTATAAATCTGAAGGCTTCACAGAAAAGTGACTTTTTTGAGCCCCCATCCTTATTTGGTAGATCCCAGAAGGCTCCCTGTAACTGATAGCTAGAAGTGCTCTTAACATAAATGGGGGCTGGATAGATTCTTCTGATTTCCCATCCACCCTAAGAAAGAGGAAGTGTTGGGTAAAATACAACAGTAGTTAGATCCAACTGGAAGTGCTCCTTGCGTCCCAGATAATTAAAACAAGTAACTAAATAAGGGATCCAATAATAGCAATGACAAATCATGCCAGACTTCTGGAAACTGAAAGTTATCCCCAAAAATCAAGATGCCAATGTCAGTTCTGATTATCCTCAAGATTATTATACTACCAAGATGATATATGTTTAGACTGGTAATTGAGTTTACTCAGCTCGGCATCTCCAGATGCACCAAAAGCACAACTTCCAGAATTCCCACCCAACATACTAGTTGAAATTCTTAGAATTTCTTAGAATGATATATTTTGTAAAGATGATTTTTAGCGTGCCAATTGTAAGGACCAATCAAAATGTTTTTTATTTTATTGATCTAGAATCAATTGCTGACTCTTCTTACAGCTTCTATGATACTGGAAGAATTAGACAAAAAAACTAGCTACACTACAAAAAGAAAAAAGAATGCTTTATGTAAGCTGTGAATTTCTGGGTAAAGATACCACTTGACATCTAGCATTCCTAGCTTATGATATCACTTATAAAGCTATGCTCTAATTTACATATTACTGTAATAGGATGATAGATACCGTGGGATAAATCTAATATACCTAGTTAATATTCCTTTTCAAAGATTCTCATAGGATCCTAAGAAACTGTGTTAATGTTTTAAGGAGCTGCAGACTGCAACCTTTCCTGCTCCAAAGCAACTGTCTGTTTTTGAATCAAAAGCATATACACACCTATGATAATATTTCTTGGATATTGCTATGAATTGTACTTGTCTCATAAAGATATTAGATTATTCCACCTAGATCCATAGAAATTCAATAGTTAAAGATGCTGAACTATCAATGGAGAGTCCCAAGTACTAGTCCTTGATTCCTCTGGTTATGGAAGTTAGCTGGTCAACTTGGGCCAGTAATTCCTCTTAGACATACTGGGAAACTGAAAACTATCCCAGAAGAAAGTACTAGAAAACCACCTTTAAAAGTGTTACCAAAAAACTTCATGGACCAAGTGTCAAATTGATTCAAAGGACCCTAATAACAACCTAGATTCAAGTACGATTTCCAGAACATTTTGTAGGGTAAAATGTTGCGTGGAGTCCTTGGTGTTCTCTGAGCTTGGTTGCTTATGTGTCAACATTTTGTTGCCCAACTAGGTATTGTATTCTTCCACAATCAATTTGCATTAGATTTTAAGAATCACATTATTTGCTACTTGAATCAGAACATCTGGGCGATCTCAGATGATAATCTGGGTCATCCAGGTAAGGTTTATTGTATTGGGAGTTCAGCTATAGAAAACCTGGCTGACTTTCTTGGACCTGGCTTGAGCATGAATCGAAGTGGGAATGTGAGAGGCATCCTAGGAGGAGGAAATGGTGACTTTTGTCAAGAACTGAACAAATATATGTTTTATTTTTATAGGACAGATAGGGTTTTCAAAATAATTCTGCTTGATTTTTGGAATCTAGGTAATTGGTAACTTGCAGAATATTATTATAACTTCTCTGTTGTGACTTTCGGATTCAGTTCAGCAAAGCATTCTCTTCATCTCAGGTCCAACGTTTTATTTGGCACAACACTGTATATATGCTCCTCTGCTATTAAAGTGCAATTGAAGCCTATGGGAAAAATTCTGTAACTTCATAGGATATTTGATTACCGCAAAAGATTATTTTATTGTAATTCATTTCTCAGATGTATGTGTGGCATTTCCTTAAAGAGCTGATGTTAGCCCTTCATGGTGGCTCAGATAGAAACCCAAAATCAAGAGCACTAACAGTTTCTTTATTGGAAGGTGATAGTAATAAAGCATTGCAGGTCTGAAAGCACTTTTTCCCTACCTTGTCTTTATTTTCCAGAAAATTAAGGTGGATCCCTTCTGAGAGATGCTTTCTCCAGCCCCATTTCTTGTGTGGCTTGAGATACCTCTTATCTAACCATTGCCCTTGCTGGAGTTCTTCCTCCTTAGTCTGACAACCCATTACATTCCTCATGGGAGTCTGCATTCCATTTCCCAATGCAAAGTTGTATTTTGTTTAATATGCAGTATGGTCACATTCATTACCACATTTTAATTTATGTTGAACTGAAATGTGTGGGTGGCTTTCTTTTCCAAAAAGGAAAACAAAATGCACCACCAAACTAAAACAAATACCTGATTATGGGGGGGAGGACAATAAATTTTTAAAATGTTTTCTAGCCCTGGAGGAAAAGATCCATCATTTTTTTATAGAGTGCAGCATGGTTTTACTCATAATGACTTTTAAAATAATCAGAAATGTGCTTATTAAAAGCTATATTGATTGGATGTTTTATATATGCGCACTACTGGTAGTCTGAACTGTTTCAGACAGAATACACAGAACCTGAACAGAACTAGATGGATGTCATGTCTTTGTTACAGAGACCTCTCTTGCAAATGGGAAACAAGTCCACATATTTCTACTTTGACTGAAAATAAGTGCTTCCAACAACAGCACTAAATACCTCTGGTGTCAAAACTTAGCAATGTGGCATGGGTTTTAGTTCCTGAACATGTGGTCTACAGAAGAAAATGATTCTCTATTGCATGGGTACACCTGCATGCTATGCATGAATGCATGCAACAGTTTAAATGTTTATACAATGTTAGTTATGGTTGAATCTATCTAACTGGTCCCTATGGTGAGACACCAGCTTGATGGCACATAATCAGTCAATGATCAGATTAGTTTAAATTCATTCATACTCCAGGACTAATATCCCAGGAGTACTTTTACTGTATTTTTGTTGTTGTTGTTGTGGAATTGTCACTTTTTTGTTAGGGAGAGTGACAACAACATGAATAGAAAGTTAAACTCTATTATTCCGCTATTTACATTGTTCTGCTCCCTTTCCTGGCAAAAATATAATTCCATCCATGTAATTATTTGCTGTTTAAATTTGTTGTACCAGTGTGTCGTGTGACTCATGCTGTAAAAGTGATGACAAAGATGCAATCCATCATCTGAGCATAATTCTATGATTATATCATTCTGCTTTTCTAGGTTGTTTAGTTCCAAGTGGCTCAAGAACTAATGCTGGAGATGGTTAATTATGGTGTGGTCAGCTATAGTGACCACATCCTTATGGCACTGGAGTCTCTCAAGCTTGCATTGAAAAACAGTTCTCAGGACAGTGAAAAGTGTTGGGATTGCAGAACATAATATGCCAATTACCCAGCGTCCAAATCATGGGTGTATTTCTTTAGTATTCATCTGAGAGAACAGTATATTTTATACTATTTTTACCTGCTCGGTATGCATTTCAGATGCTTCTCTGTGATATTACCTAACCTGGCAATTATCATTAAAGGGACAGCATATACAGTAGCTACAACCACCGTAACTTGCTCTTTTCCATGCAATCATACATTCTTTTAAGAAATATTGCCCACATTTTTGTTTGCATTGCAGTATTAAATCAAGAGAAAAAAGATATTTGTATGTAGGGATCCTATGCTGAAATCATTTCTTTAAGGTATCATCAGATTTGGCAGAGTAAACTCATTCACAGAGTCAGAGAATAATATGTAATAATCAGAGTCTATAATTCAGTGACATAGTAAGGAAAGCTACAATCCTGCCCACAAGTACATATATTTCAATAAATTTTAGGAATGAAATGGAGCTTTTTTCCCAAGGTTTGTCTCAAAACCACAATGCTTCCTTGGAACCGGGGATAAATATAAAAGGCAGTAAGATTAGGAACTGGGAATAAAGTAGCAGGGTGATGATGACACATATTTGGGGATTTACTATTTTATGCTTACCTTGCTTTTCTCCCAGTGTCTCATAAATCTGATAGAGTTGCTTTTGAAGCTTATGTGATGTAGGCCAAAAGTTTGAAAATTCAATAATAAACTTTTTTGGGACAATATAATTTCTTAGAATGAATTATGGTAGAAAAACAAAGAATCCATTATTCAAGTTATGTTTCTACAACTTTCTAAAGCAGCTGTGCCTAATTAGTGTTTTTAGGCTGAGAGCCATACTGTATTTCTTCTCTGAGTTCTACCTAAGATAAGTTGGGTAGAGTCAGGAAAATATATATATAAATTTGATCAATTTAATTATAGTAGAACTGATCATTTCCCATGAACTTCAAAGTTATTCCTTATTGTGAATTGGTTTGTGCTAATCATGATTTGGAGTTCCTTTGTATACTTTCATAATACAAAATAAGTGCCTGCCTTAAAATAATATGATACAATTCCATTTGGAAAGCTATAAAATGTAGTTTCCAACTGTTACAATAAAAATATACAGGGTCACAAAACGGTTACAATTTTTCCTCATACAGTACAAACCCACAATACAAATTTCTTTAAGTAAATGACTAAATATTTTCATTTGCCTGTTTCAGGAGAAAAATACTTTCTTTGAATTTATATTTCAGTAGTAAAGCATTACAGTTGTTGTTGTTTTGTTTCCTAAGGGCACCTCCTTGGACTTTCCCATGACGACTCCAAATTCTGTGAAGAGAACTTTGGTTCCATGGAAGATAAGAGACTTATGTCTTCCATCTTAACAAGCATTGATGCTTCCAAACCATGGTCCAAATGTACTTCAGTAACGATAACAGAATTTCTGGATGATGGGCACGGTATGTATTGACATTGGATATCATGCTAAATTTTGAGAACCTCTCAAGTTTTAAAAATTAAGTTTATAGTTAGTTTTAAGAGACAATCTAATAATAAATAAATACTTCCACACTCCTTCAGTGTAGCATCTACGCAACTCCAGAAATGATTGGTATCTGACTCCAGTGGCTAGGCAGAGTACTGCAGTACATTTAATACTCTGTTGTTGCTCTCTCAATTAACAGTAATAGCAGCATATAATAATAAAGTAACAGAAAATGAAGAAAGTAAAATGCTCTGGGATGTAAGAATTCAAACAGATAAGCACTTGCCACATAACACTCCAGACTTAGCAATTGTTCATAAGACTAAAAAGGTTGGATAGTAGCCTGGAGACAACCGAAGAGAGAAAACTGGAGAAAATCTCAAAATAGGAAAACCTGCAAAGAGAAGTAGAAAGACCGTGGCTAAAGAAAGCAAAATACCAATAGTATTAGGCACTTTGAATCCAATCCCAAAGGAACTAGAGCACCACAAAATCCCTGTCAATCAATTGCAAAATGCAGCTTTACTTGAAACAGCTCACACTCTGCGAGGATACTTTAACACCATCTGCCCATCTCAGATCCTCGTGCACGATATATGAATAAAAATGCCAGATATCCATTGACTCAAAGGCACACACACTCAAATATAAATAATATAGGGTTGCATTTCAGATGCAAAATCCTGATAACAATGAAGGACCCAAAAGAGATAAACATTATCTTTGCTGTCCTAGAAATTAATTGGATTTATGAAACTCTAATCTAGGACACTTAGGTATATACAAAGAAGTATTAAACAAATATGAAGTAATTATAACAGCAACTAATTCTAAGTACGGATAACAATAGATTAAAAAATATGGAATAGGAGAATAACTGAAGCAAAATTGATAGTTAAGCAGGCATTAGTACCTTGGTTTTCTAGACTGTTAAATAAATGCTTCATACAGCTTCAAGGAACTCACAGCTTCTTATTATCATATAGTATTATTCATCAACTTTTTAACAAAATGCTTCAGTGCACTCATAAAGCAATTGCAGCTCTTAACTATTTTAAATTCCAGAAGACTTAGACAAAAATGACCTAACTGAGGAATGGATCCAGTTGTTATGGCAACTAAAATACTTATAGATGAAAAACAGAGTTTACATGCAACCTCTAGAAAAGCACTATGTGGGAATATTTGCAGTACGATACAATCACATGTTTTATCCCATTTTTTGCTATTTTTTGTTTCTCATTGAGCAATTAATAAGCATTAACTCATGCCAGCCCACATTCTATCTATGAATGAACAATGGAGGTGCTATTTTTTAGTAATTATCCATATGGGCAAGAATAGGTTTGCTATAGAATCCTATAACTTCCCCCATCACACATTCGCCACCCCCATCCCACTTTAGATGAAACTAAATTGTTTCATCCTCAACTTAGAGGATGCTGAGGTATTTAATTAACCTTTTAGTGGTTAAAAATTGCTCAGAGTTGTCTGAACCACAAGATGGGCTGCAGATACGCTAGATGGACGGACGGATGGATGCATGCATGATGGATGGACAGACAGAACCTGCTCAGCTTTTCTTTCAGTCAATCAATATGCATTGGATTATATCACAAGATTGTGAGAAATAGAAGAGAAAATTTTGTGAGTTCTAGTTCTATCTTAGATATGAAACTCATCTAGGTGATTTTTATGTCAATCACTGTCTTTTAGCCAAACAAACCTTATAGGGTTGTTGTAGGTAAAATAAAAGAAAGAAGGAGTATTATGTACATTTGTTGCCTTGAATTACTTAAAAACTAATAAAGGAGGAATTTAAAAAAATATTGTGTGCCCTTTTCGGGAACTGATTAAACCTTGATAACACAGACTCCAGCTTCATATCAACCTATCTTTCCAAGCAGGGGGGAAAGCCTAAATTGATTTTCATTTACAAAGTGCTTTTCCTCAGAAATATTTAGAGTTTATCTCCTGCAATCTTCCTATCAAAATGTTCGTAGTTCTAAATATAAAGAATCTTTTTGCCTCTCACATATATATATATATATATATATAT